ATAATGAGAATGAGTAGTACGGTGAGACATAAACCGGAACACGTATATCTAGTTGTAACTCATTTAAAGCTCAGTCTTCAAATATTTCTTAAGCGTTTCGTTCGTTGATTACAATTTGCAATATTTATCTTGATAAAGATATTTTAACTTGTTCCTTGTTCAAGAACTTGTTTTAATAAGTTTTGACTATTTTTTTGCAACTTTTTCATTCTTCAATAGGGTGGTAGGGCGATATTTTATGTAAACATTATTTTATAAATTCTATTCTATTCTATTCTGATTTTTTTGTTCTACTATACATAATGATAGTAAAAATTCACAGTAATCGACTGAAGAATCTGCCATTTGATATATTTATACCGATGTTTATTAAAACTAATCAGTTCGGCCACTCCTAAAGTTTTTATAATTTCAGATTATTCTTAAAACATACCTAGTATAAAGTTTTACTAGTGTAAAGTAAGTTTTATTGCAGCAACTTTCTTATGAAAATTTTAAGAATTTTTGTCTCATTAGTCGATATTTCCGACTGAATTGCTCTTAAAGAGCTCTATCTCCACTTGTTGTTATGATTCTTTTGCTAACATTTTGAAATTTTATTCTAAAGGTATCTTTCGTGATTACGAATATGCTAGTTCGTTCCCTTGTATTTCTTGGCATCTCTTTATCCTATGTTATACGTGACAGAAGGCACATTATCTCATGAAGTTATTAAGGAAATTCTTATAGTTTTTTAAGAGTTGTTATTTGCTAAATATCGCCAAAATCGCTGTCGGTGCAGTTTTTTTTTTCGTTCTCTAGCCAGCATTCTTAATTATTTCATCGGTGTAGATTGTGGATGTAAATACTTGTAACACAAATTTTACCAAACTTTAACATTCTTCTTTTTGTACTTGTAAATATGACGATCTTTTAATTCCGTTGCTAAGCTATTTCTTGAAGACGAAGACCACTTATTTCTGTATCTTTTTGGTGATCTTCCCGGTGGTGGACATTTAATGTAATTATTGTTAGCCTGTGCTCCTCCATCCTTTTTACATGGTTGTATCATTTTTTTCGTCTTTGCCTACCTCATCTCACTACATCTTGTACGCCGCATATATATACAATGTTCACTGCTGATGTTATCTCTTACTCTTCTTGTTGTCCCTGATATTGCTATTAGTAGTTGATCATTACTGGTGTTTAATGACCGATAACGTGTCTTAAACATTCAGATATGGCTGCAGCCTTATTTGTCTACCATTTTCCATGCTGTGAATTTAATTTTTATTTCAAGAGCTATCGTTTTAGTTAGTTCCATGCACACTTTTTGACCTATCGATTTGTTTATTTTTTAAATGTACTATTTTTTTGACTGCTAGTTAATAATATTTGTGATGCCCAGCAACAGATGTCTACATTTACTTTGAGCTTAAACGAATTTTGTTTGTTGATCTATTGACAATTTTTGCTTATTAATGAATAATATAGGTTTATTTATTTGTATGAGGCTAATTAACATCTTCCTACATCTTTTTAATACACTGTATACATTCTATTTTAAGAAATTAACAATAGTGTCTATGTTGAAGATCGGAATTTTCATATTATCGCTTAAGTTTTTCATTTTGTTACCTTAGAAAACATTTTTGTTAATTTTTAATTTTTTAAACTAAACAAACTTGCCGTTTGCTGTGATAATACTACCTAAGATGAATAATTGAGAACATAGTTTCGATATCATTATGATATAGCAAATGCGGTTGTTAAAAAATGAAAGAATTATTTAAAATGGGACTACTCTACAAATTATTGTCTAGAAAAGTACAAACGCACTACTGTAATCTACCTATAACGAATATTGATATCGAAACCATTTTCAAAATTTTTAAACACAAGTTTTTATCAAATGCAAAATAAGGAAATTATTAATATTCTTTTAATTTTTTATGTTAACATAACTTTTCTTATTATCTTTCTTACAATTTATATAGTACTTCAGAAATAGGCACATTTCTTAATGTTCCAAATTTATAAAGCGTCATATTTGACTACGTGAAACATTCGATTATCTCTTAGGATGCGTTTCTTTTTACTGTTTTCTAATATTTGCTGATCTTGAACCTATATCTGGGTTACAGCTTCAATTAATTTTGTTTTTGTTGTGCAATCTATTGTATGTAGTGTAACTTTTACAATAATCAACCATTTTTTAACATTATTAAGATCCGTTATATTTCCTGATCGTTCGTGGCAGGATATGTTTTTGTTCTTGAAATACTTTCATCATGATTTTGGACATATAATGGTGTTGAATCTGGTAACTATTGGCATTAACTTTTTTGTCATTAACTGTTTTTTACAGTCCGATTATTCGGACTGTTCCATTCCAAAATCAAGATGATTCCATCATGATTTTTAACATATAATGGTGTTGAATCTGGTAACTATTGGCATAAACTTTTCTGTCAATAACTGTTTTTACAGTCCGATTATTTTTCTCACACTTTCTATAACTTGTTTTTTTTTTTACAGAAGAGTTGTCAACAATATCTCCGGCATGTGTTGCCAAAATCGAGATTTAATTTACCTTAAATTTTGTATTTATTTTTTTTTAACTATTTTTTATAACCCTTTAACTTATAGCATACACCTTAGCAATATGTCTTTGGGTAATTGATGTGTGCATTAAAAGCAACGATCTTAGTTTTTGGTACACAAAATATATTTTTTGCCAATTGGTATTATTCTTTCATCATCCCAAAAGTGAATAACTGTTTTTGCGGTCTGACTGTGTTTCTTTCACTTTGTGTATAAGTTGTTTTAGTACAGTGGTGCCATAAATATAAATCCAACGTCTGCTAAATCTTGCTGAAATTCTTGGGCTTGTTTTCCTATGGTTTAACTTACATTCACTTATTAGAAAAAAATCATCCCTTACTCACCTTCCATATTTGTTTGCTAATCACTTATTAAAAAAAATCTTCATCCCTTGCTCACCTTCTATATTTTTGCTTTCTGTTTATCTCGTTGAGAATATGTCCTTAAGTGATTGATGTGTCTTTACGTAACCCCCTTAGTATGCATTTTGAAAGTCCTGGTTCCGCTTACTGTTCGTTCTTTGCACATGTATGACATTAATCATGAATTATTTTTTAAATGATGTCTCTTTTCACTCACATAACCTAGAACCATAACTTTAAACCGCTTTCGTCTACAACAGAATATATGAAACAAAGACAGCCAGAAAGAGCTGTCATTTGATAATGGGAATTTCTAGTTTTGATAATGTCAAAATTGCGTTCTTGTTTATTACTAGTTTTCTTATTACTTATAAGTTATAATTTTTTTAGAAAGAAGAAATTCTTTGAAGAGAACTTCAAAACAAAGTTTAACTTTGTACCTTAGTATTCACTTTCTGGAAAAAAGCACTTATTTATAAGTTAATAATGAGATTATATATCATTTCTGAAGCTTTTTAAGAAATTATTGATTTGAATTCTCAGATTTTATCCCCTATATTGTTTTGCTTCTAACGGAATATAGAATATCATTTAAAATTAGTTTGTGAGTTTGAATTAAACCACTTTGCCAAAATCGTTCTGGTTTACTATATTTTATAAGATTTTTCAAATCTTTTATGAAGGTAACAATACTAATTAATTTAATTCTCTTGCACATTTAATTTCGGATGAATGAATCTTATTTTTAATATAGATAATTAACACACTTAGTGCCTTACTATAATAGTTAATTGCGTGGTAACAGTAAATAAATATAGTTAATATAATAACGTTTTTGAACTAACGTCATGTCCAATTGGTGTTTTTTTGATTGTTGTGCATTAATTATTGGACAATATTGGCTCAAAGCTATAAACTTTTTTAAATGATTTGATAAGGATTTTGACAGTAAATAAGACTATTTTATAAATTCTTTTGTATAAAGCAGTAAGGCGGACAAAATGAACGTGTTCACTCTTTAAAACGATTTTACACGACGGGCATGATGTGCAATGCAAATAAGGGTTCTTTTGAGAGTTTCAGAAATTAATTCAGGGTATGTGTATATATTATTTGATGATTTTTACATTTAACATTGTGATTTGGAACATTGGATTTGTTTACATACAACATCTTTTGTCTTTTTTGTCTTTCTCTAAATAAAATTAAATCACTTTTATTATAATCATTTTAAAAAGACAATCCTCATCACAGTCTTACAATCCAAACACAGGGGCGTTTTGAAAATCCTATTCTGAGGTAGATTATTCCTCTTTATCCTTTACAAAGCTAGTGTAGTTGTAGTCATTTACCGCCTCTCTATATCTGTTTTTTATAAATCAACACTATGATTCCTTCGTTCCATTTATCTGGCAATATTTTGTATCCATATTTGTTGTATTTGCCAGTTTATTTCTTTGTGTAATCGTGTTACTCCATATTGTGTTAATTCCTCCGCTAATACTCACTCTTATTTTAAGAAGATACATATTTGCAGACTATTGCTCAATTATAGTTGCATTGAATTGTCGTAGTGTAATAGTTTCCACTTATTTTTGGAAATTCAGTGTTGGTGAATTAGGTTAGAACTTCAAGAATCAGTCTTATTTTGCTAATTTCATAAACTCTCTTAAAAATTATTGATCTATTTACCTCTTAATAATGCACCTACAATTATTAGACCCGGCAGTTAGTCATCCGTGAAAGTGAAAGAATATTGGTTTTCATTTTTTGCATTTGGGTATGTTTTGATTTAACACATTAAGACTTAAGTCTAGTCCCTTGTAAATAACATAGTTACCAAATGTAATACAACTAGCACATGTTTGTGTCTGTTAATAAATTTGTTAAATATTCTTATTGTTTTATTTGTTTTTGTTTTTTATTATTTTGTATTACGTAGGAGCCAATCAATTGTAAAAACTGGTGTACACAGAGAAAGATTGACAGTAGTTACAAAATGTAAGTACTACTTTGAAAAATATCATTAGGGGTAATAAATAATTCCATTTTTAGGTTCGGACAAATTGGTTCTACGAAAAGCGTTGGAAAGAAAGGACCAATACAGACAAGTGAGGGCGCACGTGAAAAAGGAAGACGGCAGGTTACAAGCTTATGGATGGAGCCTGCCTGGTAAAGTAGGTTCGGCCAATTCGCAAGGACGACAAAGTAGCGGAGGAGTTCCTGTTCCGGTACCAGTCTATTGTCGACCGTTAGCAGAGACTACGCCAGAAATGAAAATTTGGTGCGCAGCCGGAGTCAATTTGATGGGAGGATATACCAAAGATGGAGGATTAATGGTAAGTTAAGGGGTTAGATATACAGTAAATTAATTTTAGAGCAGATATACCTTACATAGCACCAAATGTTAAATATTCTATAATATCCACCATAAGACAAATGTACATAATATAGATTTTAATTAATAAATCACGGAAGAACAGAAAGGTGCAAGATTACCTATTGGTCCTTCTGCATATCCATAGCAAATATGCCCTTCCCGCGGTATTACAGTCACTATTGCTCTACATGTTAATGTCAATATCTTTGAAGAGACGTTGTTGATTTTTAATCTCTGCAAGAACGGATATTTTCGTTCTTGCGAATGATGCTACCATTTCAGGTTTCGGAGGCATAACTAAGTATTGGAAAAAAAAAAAACAGTTTTCTTATTAAAATAATCTTAGTATTTTTGTTTTATGTGTGTATATATTTTGTATGGTCAATAATCAACAAGAATCTACAACCAGATTAGATGACAAGCATGCAAGGTGGAAAATATAGGCGACTTGATACTAAATAGGAAGAAAGAGTGGAACAATTACGTAAGCAGAATGGCAGACGATGGGGTAGTCAAAATAGCAAGAGACAGATCACTTGACAGGAGTGAAGCCAGGATAGAAGTGTAGATCGACCACGGAAAAGATAGAGTGACAATATGATATGAAGGCACAATCCAAGGAAACAGAAAGAGTTTTCCATATTTTGGTCAAATTTCCTTTCGTCAGAAGGAATATATATTACACAATCTCACGATGACTCGCCAGTTACGCTTTCAAGGCTTTTTCGTATTCAAATAAACGGAGATACATAAAACCGTTTTAATATTATACATAATAAGGTACATAAATGGAGCGTTATCCATAACAGTAACAGATCGTGGTTCGATTTTTAACAGAATATCTGAAAACCATTTTTCATAATGATCTGCTTCCATTTGCTCATAGTAACCTCCAGTATTATTCTGCTATTTGTTTCAGATATTTTTTGCGCCATAACATGATTTCTTCTTTTTTAACAAGGCTACTATTACTCTTTCTTGTTTAAATACCCAAAGTTCATTTCACGTCTTGATATTTTTGCCATATTTTCATCAGCATTTTTTTTATAGTTTGTAATCCTTTTTTAAATAAAATTCATGTAATGCATGACGAATTGCCAGTTTGGTTGTATCATCCAATTTTATTTGTTTTCTTGTCTCAACCAAGCATGTATTATTATCGTTTGTTTCATCGTCTGTTTTAATTACTCTGTACACACTAGCTTCTGAAACTTTTGCCATGATACTACATAATGTAACCTAATGGCTCACATTTTTATTTTGTTCTCTGGCTCGAAGTCCTTCAAACACATTTCCGATCATAGTTTTTTCGTCGGGTATTAAATTTTGACGTTTCTTTTTGATATATACGGTTCACTATTACTACTGTCAGTCATATTTATTATTTGTCACCAAATTGAATTAAATTTAGATTACTCATAATTCACCAAAAGTAAACGTTAAAACGCCTTCCACTAATAATACTACAAAAAATTATTTCTCTGCTTTATGAAAAGAAGCAATAAAAGAGCTCCCGAACAATGGCGTTGTTGCTAGTTACATCGCCTTACCTTCCACTAAAAATACTAAAAACAATTCTGTTCTCTGCTTTATGAAACCCCCGTCAGTGCGCTTATGAAATAGACTCATAGAACAGACATTAAAAAACGAGCTTCCCGAACAATGGCGTTATTGCCAGTTACATCGCCTTAATTTGCGACAACATTTTTTATCTCAGACATTATCTACCGTTAGAGAAAGATATAAGCTGCAACATTGCAGATAACTTCAATTTAATTCATAGACGCTGACAACCTTACATTTTCCCTAGAACCCAAATCTTTTCCAAAACATTTGAACATTTTAAAAATAGACCAGTCAAATTATTGAAAGTATTTAATATTAATCGAAATCTCTTGTATCTGAACGTATATTCTTTGAACAGTCAGAAGAAGATTTTTGTCAATGTTTAAGAGATTAAATTGATTCCGCAATAATTCACTAATTTATATATTAGATATCAGATATTAGATATTTATTAGATATTATTAAATTTTCTCCTATTGTCGGTATTCTGACAACAAAAAATATTTTTTTCTAAAGGGTAAACGTCCAATTCTACTGGCCTATAAAAACTGACAACAAAACGGACAAAACCGATAAGTGACGACACCATCTTACTTCGTCGTTCCTTTTGTTTCAGTCTTACAATTACAAATATTAACGCTACAACACTATCTTTTAAGTGAGGGGAAGTATTTGAGAGCTGCTATATTCTTTATTGTTTTTTTTTTTATTTTTAGTAATTATTCTCTTTACTTTATTAAGTTTGCTGTAAACGTTCCGTATATTTTGCTGTAAGATAGTATTCCATAGTATTCCATAACGCATATTGTTAGTTGTGCTATATGACAGGAGTCGTTGTCCTAGCTCATTCCTGTTTCCGATGTCAAAATTCCTAACATAGTTATCATCACCGTCTAATTGCTGTTCCGTCTTAGCGGTGAAGTCTCCGAGAATGATATTTCATGACAGATTTTATTTTGTGTTGATTCGATTAGGTTGCAGATCTCTTCCTCTTTTGCTGTAGATGTAAGAGCATAAACTTGAATAATTGCAATAGACATCATCATTAATATTGTTTTTAATCAGTACGGCAACTCCGTTGTGATTATGATTTTCTGTACTTGAATTATATAACGTAATCTTCATGAAAACTATCCTTGTCCATATCAGAATATCACGACTAAATCTTTCAACATTATGGTACATATTGTAATGATTTATTTTAGTTTTTTAACACTAACTTAAAACAAGTAATGATATTTATTACTTAACGCTGCAAGTTTATTTCTTAGACTAACTCTACCATTTAATTTATATGTATTTATACTTCATCTAATTTACATAACGATGCACGTCATTATCTACATCAGAGATCGAAGTTGACATAGTTGCCAAAGTATAAAAAATCCTTACTCCATTTTAAATCAAAGAGATCACATAATTATTGCAAATGTATTACCATCTCTTTATAACGACTATTTAAATTCTTACGTGACATTTTTTAAATAAAACACACTAATATTGTTCTAAAAAGAACAGATTTTATTAAATAGGTAAAAATATAAAACAAGAGGTATTCACTTTAAAAACATTAATAGAAATTTTTAAATATTATTTCTACGCGTAGGTATATAATAAAATATGTCTAGTGGATGTAATGCCAGTGTACTCGGCAAACGGTAAAAAAGAACACACCTATCGCCTAAATATTTCGGGTTTGCATCATGTGACGTCACGGGCTATGACGCCGATGACGTGCATCGGTATGTAAATTAGATGAAGTGTATATTGTCCGCTTCAATGCCTGGAAATTTCTCAATGTCGCTACATCTCGCTTCGAATGTTCGAATTGTTTCGAAAAGTTCCTCGTGACGCTCTTTATTTATAATTTCTAATATATCTGTTTGCAATAGTCCCCTTATGTTCTAAATATGAGTAGCTGCTAATAAAACTTGATTTTACTTGGGATTGTAACGACATGTATTGTAGTGTATGAATTAAAGTTCAGTTTTTAGTTGTACGATCTAATTTCAGGTTGGAGGCAGTGTTTTTTATTCCGATGAGCCAAAATCTCCCTCGCCAAAGCCTCAAAACGAAATGGAAACCCTCGATCAAGAACTCAACTATGGTAAAGACGGTGCTCTATTAGAAACTAGACTCTCATCTTACGTTTGGATATGCACTACCACTCAAATCATAGGTACCAATTCCCAAACTCAATCCGCTAGTCTAGTTACCGTAATCGACGCCAATAATCCGGCCGAACTTCTTAACAGCTTCGGAGTATGTTCAGGTCATGTTCTGTGTATTGCCAGCGTTCCAGGTGCTAGTCCGAGCGATTACGAAGATAATCTACCCAAGATCGAATGCGAGTGTAGTGAGGTTAATATAAGTAAGAGCAATTCAAAAGATAATGAATCATCTGACGTCAACGAAAAGGAAAAAGGAGAGACTGGAAATGGTAGCAATAATAAAAGCACTGAAGATACTTCTAGTCAGGATGTGTTTGACAGTCCAGCTCATAGACAGTCTAATAATAAACCAAAACCAGTAATAATAAACTCTAGATGTCAAGAAGAACAGACGGAAATGGCGTTGGTGAGTTAACATTTACTTTAAAAACTATGTATATATATATTCATTTTAATTCGCTTTCATTTCAGCTTGGTAAAATTATATATGTCGACAAAGACGAATCAGTTGTAAATAGGAGGGATAAATATGCCAAACAAGAAAACGTTAATTGTGATAATAATAGTAAAGATAATTTAGATGAAACTAATGCGTCTTGTGATAACAATAGCGGCGGTGAAGGCTCTAATGCTGAAACCAGCTCAAAAAATACTCAGTCAACAGAAAGTGATAGTACTCAAAATGATGAACCTCAAAATCAAGAGGTTATGTCCAGTGTATTGGCTACCATGTGGATGGGTGACGAAGAAGGAAATATTTATATTCATTCTGCGGTAGCGAATTGGGCTCAGTGTCTGCACACTGTTAAAATGAAAGACGCTGTTATATCCATAGTGTAAGTATGAATATTTTCTCTTATATTTTCTTCTACTTGCTAGAATTAATAAGATTATACTTTTCCCCTCTTCTACTGAATAATTCGATGAAGTAATTTTTTTATTGTTACATTGCATGTATGTACAGAGTAATAAGTAAATAGTTTGTAAGTAAATTAACGTAAGTTAGGTACCGTCCAGTGACGGTTCTCTAAGTATTATTGCGGTAGGTCTTCTGGCCATACCCTCTTAAATCTTCTTTCGACAAGTGGTTGAGTGAATCGTTTTTGTGACCAGTGGTACGATTTTTATATTTTATTGAGTGCTTCTTTATTATGTCCTTAAGTATAGGATGTCCAGATCACTGTGAAGTGTTTGGTTAGATACATACCATGGAGCATTACTTATCATACGGAGTATTTTGGATTGGACTGTTTGAAGTATCTTCGTATTTGAAGGTTTACTACAGCCCCATAGTTCTATTCCATATGGCCAAACTGGTATAAGTATAGCTTTGTACAAAAGCAGTTTATTTTCAAGAGATACCTGACACCTTTTGTTAAATAGCCAGTTCATAAGAGTTTTAGTTTAAGATCTAGTTGTTTCCGTTTAGGTTTAATGTGCGGTGTCCATGTAAGTTTTTCATCTAGGTGCAATTCCAAGTATTTGACAACTGGCTTTATAGCAATGGGAGTATTAATAAAATAAACTTGTGGACATATAGATTTTTTTGTTGTAAAAGTAATTTGTACTGATTTGCTAGCATTAACACTGACCTTCCATCGCTTAAGCCCGTTTTGTATTGATCTAAATGGTTTTGTACTTTTTATGATGCTACATTAGGGTCGATATCCACTGCCATGATTCCCGTGTTATCGGCAAATATAGTTAAGAAGGTATCATTGCTGGTTGGAACGTCTGTTGTAAATACCAGATACAGAAATGGTTCGTGTACATACAAAATAGCCGAGACCAATTTTTATATACAATTGATATTACTAATAATTTTTTTATTTTTTACCTACTTTATTTTAGAACCTATACTGTAAACCTATAATCATATTGTATTTTTAGCCATCTAAATGGCAGAGTAGTAGTGGCATTGGCTTGTGGTCAAGTCGCTGTTTTCAGAAGAGATTCAGAAGGTGAGTGGGACTTGTCGCAATATCATTTAGTACACATTGGTCTTCCACACCAATCTGTACGTCAATTGGCTGTGGTAGGAGACAAAATTTGGTGCGGATATAGAAATAAAATACACGTGTTGCAACCTCATGATATGCAGATTATCCACACGTTGGAAGCACACCCACGGAGAGAGAGTCCGGTAAGTTTTTCATGATTGCTTTTTTATTTACTTAAAATCTTCTTCGGTGTTATTGATCGCCAGCAGTCTCAAAAGTGAAGATACGTTGTCAATAAGGACGTTCAATCAGGTAGAACGTTTAGGACGGAAACCGAAAACAGACTACTTGATGGAACCTCTTAGGAAACCGCACCTTTATATAGCGTTTTGTAATTCCGTTGCGACTGCAAACAGTTGACTACCTAATTGATAAAAAGAACCTTACTAATTTTTAAATAATCATCAAATTTTAGGTCAGGCAAATGGCATGGCTAGGTGAAGGCGTTTGGGTGTCGATTCGATTGGATTCCACTCTAAGACTTTATCATGCGCATACATACCAACATCTACAGGATGTAGACATTGAACCTTATGTTAGTAAAATGTTAGGTAAGTTAAATTATTAAATTACAATAAAAAGTAACGAACGCAATATCAGGGGCCTTATTCTTGAATCGAGAGAAAATTTTACTCCCCACTAAGCTAACTCGCTTTTCTACTCCATCATAATTTCTCTCGATTTTAAAAAGCTGTATTCTTGAATACCGGGAGTAGAAAGGGATGAGAGAAACTATGAACAGTGTTGCCGGGTTTTCAATGAAAATTTTAACCAATCACAAAAGTTAATTATTGACAAAGGACAAGATACTGTCAACCGTCAACCTGATCACTCCCCTTAATGGTGGGCCAAACTGCGATTTTTGTGTAGCTGTGACAAAATGTGACTGCTCCAGTATTGTCACGGTGACAAAAAGCAGTGATTTTTGGAGCAGTTTAATCTTAACTGCTACCCTGCTACTATTGCTACCTTTGAATATTCCAAAATATATTTTAAAATTTGTAAAAATTTTCTATCTGACAAAAGAAATGGGTCCGTTGGTTAGAGGACATCCCGGCCAATTTGAAGATCTTCAACTGCCTCCAAAACATCATTAAACATAATATAATTCCAGTAGAGCATATGATTGATATCCATCTTTTATTAACTTCCGCTTTTTAAAAAACAAAATACTTCCCTGGGTTTTTGAAAGGTTATGTATTGTTATTTTCGCTCCCATTTACAATTTCTCTTGCCTATTATCAGTAGAAATTGTTATTCCCTTAGGGAGTGACATTTCTCTCACACATTAGGAGAGTTTTTTTCAAGAATACAGCATATTGGGTTTTAGGGAGCCACGCCTACTTTTACGTCACTTTCTCTTGCAATTTCTACTCCCTGAAATTCAAGAATAAGGGCACAGGAACAAAATCAATTGCTATTTCTAAAAACAAACTGATGTATTAAGTTTAAATAATATATTTTTAGTTACAAAATTTGATTAAGTAATCTATGTTAATGCAGAAAAGGTTTTTTCCATTAATTCAAAACATACAAAAGAAATTTAAATGATGCAAATCTGATTGGTCTTAAAGTACTCATCAAAAAGTAATTATTTTGGTTCAAATTTAAATTTTTTTAGCTGACTTTCCTTTGTAAAAGTACCCTTTTGCCTAATAGTCATGTATAGGTAATGGATTTTGGGAACAGCTATGACCTTGAAAATGCCACAAAGAATATAACTAAATATCTCTTTTCTTACTCATACTCTTTAAAGTCTTTTACAATATTTTAGAATCGAAGAGATGTAATTATGTTATTAATGTATTGGATTTTGACAAGAGCTATGCATTATGCCTATTTAGTACACAAGTTTATGTGAAATATTCAAGGTCATAGCTGTTACCAAAATCCATTACCTCTACTTCTTCGGTCAGTGATAGAGCAATATTTGGAAGTTCTTGAGAAAGCTTTCATTTATGAGGTAATACCATCGAGCAAAAAGACAAAAGAGGGAATGTAAAGGTAGTGGGAACAAAAATATTGTTAGACAGGAAGTACTATCTTGAGAGGCCACTTTAAACAAGGAAAGACAGTCTCTTTCCTTGTTTAAGAAATCAAATTTAGTTTGGTTATGTTATTGTTTGTCCCAACTGTCACATGAAATTTTATTTATATTGAAGTTTTTTACCAATTGTGTCACTTTTTAGACTATTATCGTTAATATTTAATTAAAACTTTCTCGTCTGAAAAATATTTTATAGCTATTGTTAATAAGTGTCGGAAAATTTAAATTTAGCGCCTTTGCATTTCCGGATATGTCCGCCATCAGAGTCCACTTTTTTGGTCTTATTTTCATAACGATTAGATTCCCTCTTTTGTCTTTTTGCTCCATGGGTAATACACAATCTTGCATAATATACATTGATTCAATATTGAGTATTCTTCTTTGACAATACAGATCTTCTTTTGGGTGAAGGCATGGCAGTTGAAAAACATATTTATTAGCTCTCGTCTGTAATACCGTGAGATGTTAAAGCTGTTTGCGATTAGTATACTCACTTTTGAAAGTCGTTTAACTCTGTAGGTGATATCTTAATGGAAAAAACCAGGTAAGACTTCAAAAAGGTTGGAGTCCCGTCTTCTGTTAATCCGCAGGAATGAAACGGTAGTGTGGAATTTGATAACATAGTTTACAGGGACGGCTCTTTAGCTGGGCATTTAACCTACATTGATGAGCACGGCTACTGAATGCCAGCTCCAGGAGAAGAATTGTAGGAAGATACGAAATTTCGTATGTATTTTATTATTTAAACACAAGAATAAACCAGACTTACCAATGTGAGTTCTCGATCACACAACCGTATTTAAAAAAACTAATTATTTAACGTCACCAGCCATCGCAACAACAAAAATAATAATGCCTCAAAACTCGGCGTTTAGTTTTATATACCCTATTGCCAGACTAATTTAAAACTAAGGGTTAATCTGGACATTCTTAATGGGTGCTTAAAGAAAGAACGGGCAGCTGCGTTTGTAATACGCAGTTGGTTTCATGGGAAATATTACATACTCTTAACATAATCGAAGACGAAGTTAATGACAAGGTTGACTAAAGAATGAAACACTGAAGTTAATAACTGGTTTTCTTATATTGACGTACCTTTTGTATTTTTCAGGTACGGGTAAATTAGGATTTTCTTTAGTTCGAATAACTAGTCTTCTTATTTCATCGAATCGGCTGTGGATCGGCACGAGTAATGGAGTAATAATTTCTGTACCACTCTCTGATGGTAATCCAGCCGCCCTCATTCCAAGAACCAGTTCATTACCTGGCCAAATGAACGTTAGATTTAGACCAATACCCGGAAATGCACCACCGTTCTGTACCATGGCGCATGCGCAACTAAGTTTCCACGGGCACAGGGACAATGTAAAGTTCTTTGTGGCTGTACCTGGAAGTGGAGGTAAGGAAAATATTTTTTTAATGTAAAGCTATTTAAAAGATGTGTTCCTTTTCTGGTCTGAATAGTTTTAAAACCTTGATTTTTTTTAAATTAGCCCTTCGTATATTTAACGTTATGTTTAGGAATGAGTGCAGCGTCCACGCCATCCGAAGCAATGTCCGCTTCAGTATCTTCAGTAGGAAATACATTAAAAAGTCCCACAGCGATGCTGGTTATTTCTGGCGGTGAAGGTTACGTCGACTTCAGAATCGGTAAGTTTCGTCTTATTTGTCTTTAATGCTAGCTTGAGATGTTTGCATGCGCTTTAAGTCAAGTGATTCGTATTAAATTTGATAGGATTCCTGGGAATAGAAGGTAGTTTTTTAACATTTGTATAACGAAGATGATAGTAAACGATAATTGGTGTAACGTGTCTTATAATAACAGTGTTCCGGTGAGTTACTAATTCAGTTGTATTAATAACAATGTTTTTCTTTTCAGTTATTGTTAAATTAATACATTAAAATATATATTTGTCTGGTATATACAATATGGGAAGAAATTTGATCTCTTTTGAACTGAACAGTTTAAAAGAAGTTTCATTAAAACAATAATAATAAATGGTGTAAATATTGTTATAATCTTTGCTAAAAAATTGTTTTATTTTTATATTTTTTTTTATTTTGTATTCCAGTGTCTTAATTTAGCAATTTTATTAATTTGTACAAGTTTATTTTAAGCATACATCCCATTTTTCCTCATAAATGTGGGCAAATGGGAATAACGGTGTGTAATGATACAATATACTCCCTCCTGTTAGAATAGAATAGAATAGAAATATGCTTTATTGTCACTGAAAATTATTGAACAATTTTATGGACAAAGCTAAAAAATAAATCAGTCAAATAGTACAAAAAGTATAAAACAAAAACAAATATAGTAAAAAACAGAATAACACAATTTTAAATTAGTAAAATTATTGTATAACCTACATAATTTGTACAGACAACAACAAATGAGACAAATTGTAGCCACTGCTTGAGACACCCAAATGTAATTATAAACAATACTAATTTTGTTTCTTTGTTATACATTAAGAAACTCGTCAACTGAATAATATGGTCTTTCTGAGAGATAGATTTTTGTCACCTTACGAAACTTAATGAAGGATGTTGCGGATTTAATTTCTCTTGGAAGGTGATTATAAAGTTTCTTTGCACGATATAGAATAGAATTCTTTACTAGCTGAGTGGACGGGATCGGCAAATAAACGTTACAATCCGAATTTCTAATGGAGTAGCCATGGTCAGGTCTATCGGGAAAAATGTTTAGATGCTTTCGAATCAAACAAACCGTTTCCAAAATAAATAAAGAGGGAAGCGTCAAAATTCCGTGATTTTTGAAGTAGGTCTTGCAATGAGTTGTTTGTTTGAGACCAAATAGATAACGGATTGCTCTTTTTTGCAACTTAAAAATAGTATCAAATTGGGCCGCTGTACTAGAACCCCAAAATGGAAGCCCATATCGAAGATGGGACTCGAACAATAAGAAATATGCCATTTTGGCAGAAGATAAATTTAGTTCCTTCGAAACAGATCTTATTGCAAAGCAAGCTGAGGCTAGTTTCTTCCTTAAGGAGTCAGTATGCAAGGACCATTTGAGATCACTGTCAATGAGAATACCTAGAAATTTCACGGAATTTACGATATTGATTTGGCTCTCATTCAAAAGCAAGGGTTGCATGACTCCTTTATAAGATAATGCTACAGTCTTATCCACGTTAAAGCTAAGTAAGTTGGAGTCTGACCAAGCCTTGATTATAAGTAAATCAGCGGTTATAATTGAATGAAGCGTTGAAATATCAGAGCTGCTCCAAGTAATACTGGTATCATCAGCAAATAGAAAAATTTTCCCTTTAATTTTCAAGTAATTGATGTCATTAATGAAAAGTAAAAAAAGAATGGGACCTAATACTGAACCTTGCGGTACTCCACACTCAATATCTTTACAACTAGAGTCGGTGTCATTTATTCTAACCAATTGTTTCCTACCTACCAAGTAAGTTTTGAACCAGTTCAAAGACACACCCCGAATTCCATAGAAAGTTAATTTTTTTAATAGAATGTCGTGATTTACGCAGTCAAAGGCTTTGGAATAGTCGCAGAAAACGGTAGCGGAGGAGAGGTTACTGTTTAGTGGTAGATATACATCATGTAACACAGAAAATATGGCATCACTAGTGCATTTATTAGACAAAAAGCCGAACTGATTTTGGGATAAAATATTATATTTAAGGAGAAAGACATAAGTCAAACTTTTTTAAGTCTTTTAATAATTTTTGATAGTGTTGGTAACAAGGCAATAGGTCTATAGTTGCAGGCATCAGATTTTTCTCCACCTTTATGAAGAGGAATGACGATGGCAGTCTTTAGGCAGTTAGGGAATGTACCTTTTTCAAGGGAATCATTTACTAGCGAGACCATGACCTCCAAAACATTATGCGGTAGATTTGAGAAAATTTTAATAGATAATCCATCTGTACTACAGGACGATGTGCTTTTTATACTACGAATTGTTGAAATGAGTTCCGTCTTATCAACTGGTCTTAAAAAGAAGGTATCAGCAATGTTTTTTTGAATTAGAGAGATAGGAAACTGGATCTTGTTGTGGCGAAATAGTTGAGGTTATATTTTTACTCACATTAACAAAGTAATCATTTAGATTTTCGGGGTTAGGAAAAGAAAAGGTTTGATTCGCTGTACTGGTTTTATTGCGAAAATCGTTTATTATTGACCAAGTTTCTTTTGAAATATTTTTGGAGCTTGTTAAGCGATTATTAAAGTAGGATTTTTTGGCTACTTTGAGTAGTTTTATATAGCATTTTCTGTACTTATTGATATAATCAGAGACGGGGATACTGTTATTAAATTTTTTAATATATAACAGAGAACGCATATTTTTCGCAGTTATGCGAATGCCTTTGGTAATCCAAGGTTTGTTATATTTTGGCCTGATGTTTAATAGAGGAAATGCTTTATTTAAAATAGATACAAGTCTATTTAGAAAATCACTAACATTACAGTCAATGTCCCCAGAAGAAAAACTCCAGTCAGAAGTCAAGCATGAATTATAGAATTTACGAAAGTTTTGAGTGGAAAAAATCCTACCTAATCGTCGGGTTTTTGAGTGAGGTGTTTTTAAACTGCTAAACTTGGTATATACCGCTTCATGATCAGAAAGCCCCCCACTAATAACTGTAGTAACTGTTGGTGAACCATGAAGTATTAATAGCTGCTGAGACTGACGACTCAACCTCAAGGAAACTGTTTGAGGAATATGAAAAATTGATAAATTCAATCCTCTGGAGTCATAAAGTAACAGATAAAACAAAAAATCCTATTTACAAAACCATTGTTAAAGGCATATTATTACATATGAGTCAGAAATATGGGAACTTTAAAAGAAAAATACAGATATATGGCTATCCCTAGATATAGAGTACTGCAGACGAAGCGCCAGAATTTCAAGGTTAGACCATGTCAGAAATGATGACATTAGAAGGATATGATATGATAATGTAGATGGTAATATAATATAAAAGAAAAGACTGATGTGATTGCGATCACTACATCAAAATGTTCTTTATTCTGCGCCACTTTTAGTAATTGTTGAACGTTCATGCCCATCCAAGTTTTGATATTTCGAAGCCATGACAGGGCTCTTCCTCTATCTTCTCTTAAATGATTAATCTTAGTGGGTTATATTTGTCATTTCTCATTATGTGGCCTAGGTACGAGATCTTTATTTTCTTAATCGTTGATATAAGTTCTAACTCTCTATTTATGGTATTTAATACTGTTCGATTAGTAATGTGTTGTGTCCCATGATATTCCGAGAATTCTGCGATAAAGCCACATTTATTTATTTCATTTCTATGTTTTCTATATACTAATGTTTATTTTAATTTAACTTTGGTTTCCAAAGAAATCTCGTTAAAAACTTTGCTTTCCATAGAAGAAATACCGCTAGAAACTTTTGAAATATCACAAGAAACCTTGCTTTCCAACGATGTTATATTACCATAAGCGTTGATTTTCCATGATTTAATCGTCGAAATCACAGCAGCATTACTGTCCTCAAACACGTACATAAATGGATATTGACCATATTCTTGCAGGACGTCCTTTAGTAGTTGGACTAAATCAGAGCCCGTTTCTCAACAGAATTTAGTTCTGTATCTTCCAAATCACGTCGTAAATCCGTTACTTTTAAATCACTGATTCACGTAGTCGTTTGTCAAAAATGTATTTAAACATTTCACACTTTTGACACCAATGTAATGATTATTTAATTGATTTACAATTTTCTAACACTTATTCTTCTACAATGTAATTTCTCTTTATATACAGTGAACGGCTAAATTATGGAATATCGTTATTTCTAGAACCGTCGAGCTTTGAGCGGAATCCCAAAACAGGTCGATTTTTGTTACAAAATACCCATCTTATAAGGTATATGGAGTAGGTATGACGTCATCGGTGTGGGTGTAGTGACGTAATCGTTAATTTTTTTAAATAGAAATCGGTATAATGCGACACCTCATTTGAAGGAGAATTTAATTCTCTATTTAACGACATTACATTTTTAACTAAAATATTTTTTTAGGGTACTAAAACAATTTTTTTTTATTTAAATTCAACTAAATTACACCTAATGATTTAATTAGTAATGTACTTTAAAGTAAAAAAATTATGCATAATAATTATTTTAAATTAAATGTTCGAAATGCCATTCATCGGTTTCTTGACAATATGCGAATCTACGGACACATTCATCAAGTACATTGCTAATGAGTTATGCAGTAATTAGACTCATTTCAGGCCTAATTCTATCTTTCAAGTCCTGTAAGTTTTGAGGTTTATTGACATAAACTTTTGATTTTATGTAACCCCACAGGAAAAAGTCTAGAGGTGTTAGATCTGGAACCGATGGATGGCATTTCGAACATTTAATTTAAAATAATTATTATGCATAAATTTGGTTACTTTAAAGTACATTATGAATTAAATCATTAGTTGAATTTAAATTAAAAAAAAATTGTTTTTGTACCTTTAAAAAAATATTTTAGTTAAAAATGTAATGTCGTTATATAGAGAATTAAATTCTCCTTCAAATGAGGTGTCGCATTATACCGATTTCTATTTAAAAAAATTAATGATAACAGGTGTCTAGGCCCCTCGTGGCGTCAGAACATCTTTGTCGAGCGCCGTTA